TAATATTAACATTTAAAATGCTGCTTAAATAAAAAGGTCTTCGCCTGGCACCGAAAAACAAATAACGACGGCGCCAGGCGGACCTCTCTGGGGAGCGCGTTCCATAACTTAGGCGCCACCACTGAGAAAGCCCTCCTCCGAGTAACCACCCTCCTAATTTCCTTCACTGAGGGCTCCCGGAGGAGGGCCTCTCCCGCTGAGCTCAGGGGGCGGCTGGGCATATATGGACGTGAGCGCTCGTTCAGGTAGCCAGGACCCAAGCCGTTTAGGGCTTTATAGGTCATCACCAACACCTTGAATTGGGCCCGGACTTCAATGGGAAGCCAGTGAAGCTGCCGGAGAACTGGAGTCATGTGAACATAACGTCATTAGGTGGCCAAAGTATTTGAGTTTCATCGTCAGGATCTTCATGGTCCTTATCCAAGGCAAGAGCATCATGGAATCACGGCGTTCTCTTCCCCCAGCTTCTTGGGTCGGTTGGGAACTCCTTCCCAATAAAGAGGAGAGAGGCCGACCGACCACAAACCCCGCCCCACTTACACTGCATGATCCGAGCTTCCACATTCTTGAGGTGAGACATGGAGGTGGGACGCCAAGCAGGCAGCCAGCCAGCCAACCAGCCCTGGGACCTGCGGGAGGGAAGGGAGAGGGTTGAGAAGAGCTGAGGTCAGGAGACAAGTGGGTAGAAATTGGGGACGAAAAAGCTGGAAAGGAGCAAAAGGGAGATGGATAGAAAGCCAAATTCTGTGGCAACATTTTGCAGATCCAAAATATCCAGAAGCTGATGGGGTGTTACAGAGCAAGGTCTTGACCCGGTGCTGGACAGATAGTATGGCTGGTCCCAGGCAGCTAATTCTGGGGGCCACCACTGAGAAGGCCCTTCTCCTTGTTGCCACGGAGGTGGCAACCAGGGAAAGGCCCTAGAACTTGATTGTAGTGTCCAGGTAGAAGAAGGTTGGGAGAGGTGTTCCCTCAGATAGCATGGGCCCAAGCATGTAGGGCTTTATGGGTTAAAACCAGCAGCCAATGCAAGCTGGCCAGAATTGGTGTTACAGGATCAGACCATCTGGTCCCCCGTATTAAACTGGCTGCCACGTTTTTCACCAACTGCAGCTTCCAAACAGTCTTCAAGGAGTGACCCATGTAGAGTGCGTTGCAGTAGCCAAGTTTAGAGATTACCTGAGGATGCATCACTGATAACAGGCTATCCCTGTCCAGACAGGGGTGCAGCTGGACCACCAGCCAAAGCTGCTAGAAGGCCCTCTGAACCACTGAAGCCACGTGTGCCTCAAGTGGCCAATACGGCTCAAGGAGAAGCCCAAGCCCTCCCCCTCCACCATTCTTGTTCGGGGGGAATGCAACCCCTCTTGCAAAAAGTTGGATTCCCTTTGCCCAGTCCAATTGTTACAGCTACAAAGCAGAGGTCCCCTATTCTCTGCCTCAGGCCATATAGCCTTCAACAGCCATGCTGGCTGCAAATCTTACGCCATCTTTCTAAAGAAGGTGGCTTTTTTCTGGCTAAATGTATTTCAGATTACACTGCAAGGTTGCAAGTCTATACACACTTTCTTGGGAGTCCGTCTTGGAGTGACTTCCCAGAAAACAGCCTCACTGCTGAGCAGGGAAGTCACCAAGGAAAATCTTAGTTCAGCACAGAGTAGCTTTCGAACAAGTCACATTCTTTCCGCCTCTGATTTCAATCTAGGGGAAGTACATCAACATAGCTAACCCGGCCTTCCCCTCAGCAGCTCTGCAAGTTGTACCCAGATCTACTGTTCTTCCTTCTATGCACACAACAACTCAGAAAGGGTGACTTGTCCAAGGTCACCCCATAAGAGTTTTGTCTGAGCTGGGATTTCAACCACGTCCCCCTGACTGAGGCCCAAAACTGTAGCTGCCACATCATAACTGCTCGGCAGCAAAGACTCCATCCTCAGGAGCACTAGAAACCTGCCATTACCTCCCCACCACCCTGCTTCAGAGTTTCGCCATGTGCAACCATGTATCTTTTCAAGCCTCTTCCACACCCTGAGGACTAGAAATCTCTTTCATTTTTATAAAGAACAGGTCACCTAGGCACCTAACAGCTGAATGGGAATTTGAACCCAGGCCTTCCCAGCCTTTGTCTAACACCCTAAAGACACAAACCCACGGTGAGTTTAGACAGCAAACGGCCTGCAACTTCTGGCATACCCCAGCCATGAGTTTTAGACCTTTCTTGGCCAAACTTTCAGAGGAAATGCTTTAGTTCACGCTTTGTTGCTGCTGTTCAGTTGCAAAGTAATGCGCAATCCATCACGACCGCATGGAGAACATTCCTCCAGGCTCTCCTGCCCTCCATCATCCCTCAGAGTTCACCCAAGCTCACACCCACTGCTGCGGTGACTCCATCCAGCCACCTCATCCTCTGCCGCCCCCTTCTCCTTTTGCCATCCACTATTCCCAGCATCAGGGTCTTCTCCACTGTTTCTTCTCATTAGGTGGCCAAAGTATTTGAGCTTCAGTATCTGGCTTTCTAAAGAGCAGTCTGGGTTGATTTCCTTTAAGACTGACTGGTTGGGTCTCTAGTTCACCTTTAAAGGTGAACAAAAATAATTTTACATGAAATAGATTAAATACCACACACTATTAACTAACCTTGCAGGGGGTGAATATTTTCGAGATAATGTACAACACATGCTTTGAACCCTTTAGAATGTGAAACTATAGATGAATATTTAGCACGATTGTTGTACAAACATCAAGATCCATTAAATGGGCCTGTAACTGACAGGTCTTTCTCTAGCTGGGGACATGCAACCAATCTGCCCATTCAGTAATTCTTCCATCCACTCCTCTCAAGAATTAGCACAAGGCAAAATAAACAAACAATCTTCACTTAACACCTTGCTGTTTCACAGAAGACATGCCCAGGGGCCCCCATTACCCAAACTCTGACTTCGAGCACAACTTTACGGGAGCAAAGTTGGGAAAGAAACTCAGAGAATGAGAGCAACTCTGTTCCTGAAATGAAGCCGTGGAAGCTAATGTTTTCACAATGGTCAGCACATGCTAGTCCATCATGCAAATCGGGGCAGTCACTGAACCGGCTTCTCCCCGTACAGGCCGTGATGATCTTTACACTGGAAAGATTTCAGTCCAAGACAACGGCTGCCTTCTCCTCCTTGCAAAAAGTGACTCTCGGAAAACAAGGCTGCACTGTTGGCGAACGGCGACAACGACAAGGGCAGCCGGATGGATTGCTGAGTCATGCCTCTTCCCAGATCTTTGCTGAGTCACTCCCAAGGGACACGGTAGACACATGCCCTCGGGTTGTAGGACTCATGCTTATGTTTATATTAATTTATTGTTGTAAGCCGCCCCGAGGCTTCGGCGAATGGGGCGGCATAAAAATGTTTTAATAAATAAATAAAATAAATGCTGCAATCCCGTGCATCTGGAATAGGCTCCCCGGAGAGGTGCACCGGTGCTGTCGCGGCGATCATTTTGGCACTGGGCAAAGAAATGCCCCTTTCCCAGCTATTTTAATAATGTAGTTCAGTACCTGCTTTTGACTGACCCAATCTTCTTTGCTGATTTGAATTTCAGTTTGCTTATTTTAAGGCATTTCTGTAATATTTAAATTCTGATGTGCTATGCTCTGTATTTTAGTTGTGCTCTTAGTAAGTTTAAATGGGTTGATTTTATGCCTGATTTTAGGATGCTGTGCTGTTTTAATTGTTGTGAGCCGCACAGAGAGCCTAGAGATGGGCTATTGTACAAATACACAATGAAATAATAATAATTATAATTATAATGATGATGATGATGTTTGGACTGAAAGGAGTTCTAGAGCTCCTGTCTTGGCTGGTGCACTCTGGGAGTCTGAACTTGCATAGAATTGGGTCTGAAGCAAATTAACACCCATTCTTACAGGCTTCCTATTCCCCACCAAGTCCTTTGGCTTGGCTTCTTCATGCAAGAATTATCATTACATTTATATCCCTCCTTTTCCTTCCGGCAAGAACCCAAAGCTGCTCCACAGCTCCATTTGATCCTCCCAACAACAACCCTATGAGGTAGGTTGGGCTGAAAATCTGTGCCTGGCCCAGTGAGGATCATGGCCGAGTGGGGACTAGAACCCCGATCTCCTGGGTCCCTAGTCCAACTTTTTTACCATCACACAGGTTCTCCCTCAAATGCAGCCCCCAAGGGCTTATCTGAAACTAAATACAGACTTGAAGCTCAGATTGTTTATCTGGGAATGTTGGCTATTTTTTAGGGACCAGATTTTTCTGCTTTTACTCCCTGAACACCCACTATCCTTCCAAACCAGTTCAAGAAACTTCTGAGATGTTTAAGTTCATGCCAACAGTACCAGAACTTCTGAGCATGTGCAGAGCATTTTCCTCTCACTACTAAGTATTCCCAGCCCACCAACACCTGGAATTATTAGAAATGAATCTGTTGTCCATCCAGGCTTGAATTCCAATACCTCTCACTTGGAAAGAAAACACGTTATGAATCACAACTTATTTTCCTGTTATCTTTCCCCTCCAAGATGTTTGAGAAGGTCTGGTAACAACACCTAAAGGGGCTGTGCTCTTTCATCTCAGGCACACAGGAGGAATATTGGTATTTGGCAGGAAGGAAAAGTAACTCTGCTCATGCTCAGAAACACTGTGGTCTTCACACTCCCCAGCTCATAACCTTTAGCACAGAAAAGAGCTTGGGGACACAGATTCCAGGATAAGGCAGTGAACCCTGGATCATCTCCCGTTCCTTGCACATACTTCGTTATCACTTTGTCCTGGTGTTGCATAATCACTTTTAACCCTCTTCCTCTTCAGGCAAGATAGCCTTGCCTTCTTCTCTCCCTCGCCTGGATTTAAGCCTTTATCCCTTTTGGCAGGATCTGTGATTTTCCTACCCATCAAAACCGGCCTCTCTAACCATCATTTCCAACAGGTTGAATCATAGCTGTACATGGAATTTGGTCTATCTTTCTTTTCCTTACTTTTCCCAAACAGGCCTGTTTCTATCCAAACTCTGCTCGCTCTTTTGGGAGCACCTTACAGACATCCTAACAACCCAAAAGATTCCCATCAGTTATTTTAAAAGTCCAACGTCGATCCGCATTAATCACCCACATCAAACCCTGGAGAAGTGTACACCAGAAACATCCCTACACGCCCGCAGAAGAGAAAATAATTCGTGTAACTGCGACCATGAACAACCGCCCCATTTTCTCACATGTTTGGGGACCCAAAAAGCAACGTATTTTCCTCCCCGATACAGAGAAGGCGTAAGAAAGAAACACGGAATAGACCCCGCCTCCGATCGCGGCTCCGCTACCCGGAAAACACTGAACCCAACTCAGACTCACGGCGGCTCAAGGTCTTCCTCCATTGCTCCCCAAACACATCACAACAGCTGGTGAGGAAGGCGTGGATCAAAGGGGGAGGCGGAGCTTAGAGCGCGGGGGCGGGGTCCAGCGGGCGCGAGGGGGCGTGGTTTGCATTTTATGAATGGCTTGGAGGGAAGGAGCGCGGAGTTGGGGGAAGCCGGTTGTGTAACCTTCCTGCTGGGTTATGTAAGGGGGTCGGGGGCGGGAGGGATGCTCCAAAAGAGAGCGCGGCAGCCCTCCCCGGGCCTCCCTCCGCTGCCTGGGCTTGCTTAGGAGAAGAAGCGGGAGAGGAGGGCGGGTTCCCTCGCCCCTGATGTGGGTGGGGCATCATAAAGAGGGGAGGAGCCTGGGTGGGGTGACTGATAGCCGTGGGGGAAGACGGGAGGCGACGGAGGGGCGGAAGAAAGTGGCTTGTTTGGGATGGCAACAGGTGGGCTTGCAACAAGCCTGGGTTGTTGGCTGATCGGTAATATCAAATCCCGATTTTAAATCCCCCCCGCCGGCCGCCAGTCCTCTAGGGAAAACAGGGGGGCTTGCAGGATCCCTTGCCTTCCCCATGTTTATCCTCACGATCACCCTATAAGGTTGGGTAAGCTAAAAAAAGCCACGGGCTTCCCAACGTCGGCCCGTAAGCTTCATAACCCCATGGGATCAGAACGTAGGCCTCCCGAGTCCCACTCCTGCCCAACACTAACCACTAGACCACGCTGCCTCTGGTTAATGTTGCTGTCAGGCAGACGATCATAGGAAAAAAGGAGGGCGAAAGTGCAAGCGGGGGGACGGCTTTGCAACCCCCGATTTCGCTGCCCCCGGAGCTTGCTTCTGTGGGGTCGACGTCGCTGCCTGCCCGCCCGCTCATCGGACGGAGCACCTGGACGCGCCCCGCGGCAAGCGAGCCACGCATTCGCGAGTTTGTGACGTGCAAGAGCAAGCTTGATCCCTTGCCCGCCACGTCCGTCCGTCTGCGGACAGGCCAGCATGGAGTGATCCCGAGCACCGGGGGGGGGGGGGAGGGTGCTCTACCCATCTGATAGCATTGAGCGGCTGCTTTGGCTCTCATAGATCGTGGGTGGGGGGAGCAATCGCACTCCAGGAAGAGCCAAATCCGTGGATCGTCTGCCTTTCTTAAAGCAGAGCCATGCCGGTGAAGGGAGAGCAGAAGCGGCATTCCTCGGGCTGCATTATTAGGATGGGATGCAAACTTAAAGCGGTGAGTTGAACGTCTTGCGCTTTAGGGCCCGAACCTGCGCAAGCTTAGACGGAAAAAAAGGCATAGCTGCGTAGGTCAAATAGGCCTTTCCCCTCATCTGAAAGGCCTCATCTTGCCCTTAATAAAGCAAATTAATGCGCTATATGCATATTCTATATCGCACGATTTATACGTATCAACGCACTTTCTTTGCAAAGCATAGTATAGTCTATGGCGAATGGGGCGGCATAGAAACCTTCTAAATAAATAAATAAATAAATAAAGTCTGTTGGCTCTGAGCGGAAAGGACTTCTATGGAGCGAACGGGCAAGCTGGGGCATGCCGGGTGCCGTAGGCCTTTTTGTTGCCTAGGATCGCGCTTTTATTTCCTTTCGTTTTCTAAGCCAAAGCTCATGTTTGTTACCTGCAGGCTGGAAATTGTCCGCTCTTATTGCACATGCGCGCGTAATCGCCAGGCGTTCGTAATCGAACAGCCTTGTTTTAATTCGGCACGCGCAGAAGCGAAGGGAATTAATCAAAGCCATGCCTTTTTTATATTCCAGATTTTCTGTTCCTATTCATAAAATTATGCTATAGCCGTTATTTTTTTAAAAATACAAAGTTCCTATGGGCGAAAGCCTATGCACGTTCAGGCAAGGAAATAAAGACCTACAACTCCCAGCATGCCTTGTGTCTAAGTTTGGAGGCCAAACTACGCGTGCGTTTCAAAATCGCTTTTCCCACCTCACTCTTGGAGCGAGTCGCATGCGCAACGATGAGTGTACTACGCATGCGCAGAGGTTTGTACGTGGGGAAAGACAAGACGGTGCACATGCGCATGAATCCGCCCAGACAATAAATGGCTTCATGGGCGCTGCAGGCTGCTTGTGCGCATGCGGGCTGGGCCCGCGCGCCTTCGCCGCATGCGCCGCTCGTGACCCAGGAAGCGGTCGCTGCCCGCTTCCGGCCACTCAGTCAGGTTGTCCGGGGAGAGCGGCCGTCGCGATGTCGGGCGCCTCTTCTGGGTCGTCCGGCTCCGGGGCGAGCTCGGTGGGCTCCGTGGTGCGGCGCTTCCTGGCCGAGTACAGCAGCGGGACGCCGAGCCGGCTGAAGGTGCTGGACGCCTACCTGCTCTATGTCATGCTGACGGGGGCGCTGCAGTTCGGCTACTGCCTCGGCGTCGGCACCTTCCCCTTCAACTCGTTCCTCTCGGGCTTCATCTCGGCCGTGGGGAGCTTCATCCTGGGCGGTGAGGGGCTCCCTGATTTGCGGGGGGGGGGGCTGCGCTGTCACCACGACCACCGACCCGCAGCCTTCCTTCGGGGAAGGAGGCGCGGCCTGGCGGTCCCGCGGCAGCCGTGAGGGGAGACGGGGCCGGGGCCAGTTCGCTGTATCGGCACGGCAGTCGTGGGGAGGGTCCAGCCGCTGCGAGGGCGGCTTGGGAACGCCTGTGGCATTTGGGCTGGTGTCGGGCCGCCATGGCAACAGGGAGGTCGTGGGGGCAGGAGGGTGGGTGGCGACGGTTGCCGTGGCAGCGCGGGGGCGTGGCTAGGGACCAGCTGTTCTCATAGCTGTCTAGCACCTTTCCTGCAGCACCTTACTCTCCTCCTCTCATTGAGGACCTGCTTTGTTTTGGGCCTGGGGTAGCCTCATGCTAGTGCTCTTCAGGTGTTTCGGACTGGGATGCACTGCTGGGTTGTGCTAAAAGTGTACGCGGGCCAAAGCATCTGGGTGACAGTAAGACAGGACTCTGGAGCCTGTTTCTACGATGCATTGCTCAACCCTGCAGTTTTCTTTAGTTATTTTTTTTCTTTATGGTTTGCTTTTTTCATCTTGCAGGGAACCCAAGGAGGCTTGCAAAGCCCTCTGCTCTTTTTATCTTGTATCTCACAACAATTTTGTGAGATATATCAGGCTAGGCTTACTTGGGGCACAATCTAGTGTGTTTAAGCAGGAAAAAAGTCCTACAGTTCCCAACATTCTCCATCCAGTATTCCACATCATGGCCACTTGGGGGTGCTTGCAGTTGCAAGACTTTATTGTGGATGGATATGCATAATGGTGTACCTATATTTGTTCAAACTGTTTTCTTTCCTCTTCAATCAGAAAAGATTCTGAAGCCAGATTAAGTGACTGTTCTTTCAATCAACAGCCCTCAGGCTCTCCCTTTCCTTAGTAGCAAAACAGAATTTGTCCTTGCCAGCAATTGTCTATTCTCCATGAAGGAAGCAGGAGGAATTTTTACTACACACAGCTGAGCTTTGAAGGTGTTCCAAGTTTTTCTAAACCTTGCAGAAGTTCAGTGCAATGTTAGAGAGATGCCCCCACCCAGACCATGTTGCTGCTTTCAGGTTACTCTCTATACCAGTGCAAGATCTGGAAGATTTCCTTTCCTTGTTCCACTTCAGGAAAAGGGCAGGAGAACTTGGAAGAATCAAGAAAGAATTTGCTAATAACAAATTGGTGAATACGTCAGTGAATCTCAGGCCGTAGCTTTAAAAAAGTATAAAGTTATGGCCAGGCTTAAAAACAGTGGCTGGACATGCCATGATGGTTTCTTGTGCAGGATGGTCCATCATGTTCTGGTATTTCAGTGTAGCACATTTGGTGTTTGGGAACATGATAAGAAACAATTCTATGTATGTTCTTCCTCCCTCTAGTTTGCTTGAGGATCCAAATCAACCCACAGAACAAGAATGAATTTCAGGGGATCTCGCCAGAACGGGCCTTTGCTGACTTCCTCTTTGCCAGCACCATCTTGCATCTTGTTGTCATCAACTTTGTGGGCTGATAAAGAAGATATAGCTGTATGTATGCCTAGTCCAGATGGGTGGATATGGGTTTTGGGAAGAGGAGGCTTCTTGGAAGAAAACATTTTTGCTACTGTAAAGTTCATCACTTACTCAGAGGGTAGCTTTCTGCTGTAGACTGCTTTTGGAATTAAAGTGCTAGCCTAACATGGAAAGTATAAATGTTGACACGAATTGAGTGTGCTCTTCCTCTTTGGTTAGAACTCTGTGGTTTATTATTCATTTTTACTCTGCCTTAGTTTCTTCTTGTTGACCTTCCTCATACAAATAACTGGATACTGGTTTTTTCTTCATACAGTGGTCAAGACTGGAAGGGGAAGAGAGTTTAAGATCACAGTGATAAGCATGCTCAAAGTAACGCTCTGTGTGCTGGGCTGATACTGGCAGTTAGTACTTGCTTGTGCAGAATGGAATCCTAGGCTTCAAGTACATTGTAGGTTTATAGCAAGAGTAGGGAACTATTGCCTTCCGTATCTCATTGGACTCCGCCTCTCTTCGGCCCCAGCCTGCATGGCTAGCGGCCAAGGATGACGTCTGGCAGGCTACAGATTGCCCATCCCTGACTTGGTATTAATTGGGAAGAGCTTTATTTTTCCATTTGCTGATCAGGGAGCAGATGAGTCAGTATATGGTCAGAGCATGGAGTGAAAGCTTACTGTGCCATTGAGTTAGTTTGTCGTATGTATTTGTTAATTTGTCAGTTATGTACAACCCCTGCTAGACTTTTGGAGTGGCTGATCTTGATGTCCAGTGCAATGTTGATAAACAAATTCACTTCCATCTTTCGCTACCCACACCATTAAAAGCAACTCTCTCTTCTGTTCTCCTTCATAGATCCTGGACTGGGCTTGTTAGATGAAGGCCCCCATCCCACTGAGAAGGCAATGCCACACATTATGGACTTGGATTTTTTCCCTGAGCTGGAAGAGGGTGTTCAGTTTTCCTGAAGGCCCATTGCCTTCCATTTCTTTGACTCTCAATAAAGCCTTTTTGTTACATTCTTGTTCCTCATCTTTCAGTGGTAGCTGGAAAGAAGAGGCCTACAGGTTGGGTGGGCCGCGATTATCCTCTGGGTCAACTGGTGAAGGATGTCTTGGAAAATCTGGGCATTGCTCTGCCTGGCCGAAGCGCTGTTTGGAAGAACAGAGGAATATGGGCTTGGCATTGATTGACCTGCCAGTAGATATTCTATTATAAATGTGCATTTTTAGTCAACTCCCATCTACCCAGCACCGTTAGAGATCTCCAGCCAGGACCCTGCTCCTGCCTTTGAAATCCTGCTAATTTAAACAAAGCAGAAGCACTTGCATCCTTCCATTTCTCTGAAATGTTCGCAGCTTAGCATGCAGCTTAGCATGCTTGTCTTTCTAATCTCTCATAACAGGATGATGGTGCCTTTTAATCAAGATGATCAGGATAACAGGGTTCCTCTCCCTGCAAACTGGCAGGCAAGAGCACTGCAACATGTTCCTGGAGTCAGACTCTGCTCTCCAGCGCTAACCAAGCAAGTCATTACTTCGGTCAGACTAAACGTAGTTCCAGTCAACTGGCTGTCCATGTTATTAGGGGGTCGTCATCTTTGCCTTTCAGTGTTGCCCAAAACGTTGCTGCGTTTGCCTTTCATTTCCTTTACGCTGCTGCCATCTCATGTCTGTTCCTGTGAATTACATGCTCAGGCCTGTTTCTTCTCAAGTGTATTAACTGTGGGAGTAGAATGGCTGGAAGTCAACGTATCAGGCATTCCAGAGGGGGAAATGGATGCCTGCTTCTATTGGCTTTTTATTTTTCCAGCAAATGTAACACCTACTTGGTGCAGTGGCAGAGGAAGAGATAAATGGCAAATCACACTTCCGTTATGCATTTTGAACTGCTTCAAACATTCTGCAGGCCACATCACTCACCGGAACATTCCATGTGTACACACACAGGGTTGCGTGGTAGAATGGCCCCCACTCATACACAGACACAACCTTTGGCAGCCCCCCTCCCCCCCAGCACAGGAGATAACACGTGGTGGTGGTTGTTAGTCGCGAAGTTGTGTCTGACCCATCGCAACCCCATGGACCACATTCCTCCAGGCCTTCCTGTCCTCCACCATCCCCTGGAGTCCACCCAAGCTCACGCCGACTGCCTTAGTGACTCCATCTATCCACCTCATCCTTTGCACATGGAAGGGCATCAAATACTCAATTCTGGCATGGGAATAGTTGAGATGATACAAGCCTGTGGTTTTCCACGGATTGGTTTACACAGCTACTGCAAGGAGTGAGGTGCTTGATCATCCTAAAGCAAGGAAATTTAAAGGGATCTTTAAAAATAAACACCTTTCTTTCTGGTATGCATAAAGGGGAAAGTCAAATGCCAGAGTGGGTCATCAATTTCTGCTGTTGGCTGTCCAGAGACGTTAGCAATTGGATGGCATACAAATTTTATAAATAAATGCAAAGTGGCAGGGAGCCTGTGGCCCTGCTTTTTGTGCCGTATTCCAGCTTGCATCTGCCCTCACTGGCATGACCGATGCTCAAGGGCATTCAAATCTAGCAACGTCTGAGGTTCGCGTGTTCCACGTTACTCTTGTACAGTCCTGTTATTCAAGAGCGGCTGACAATATTAGGAATCACACATCTTTAAAAGGGACACATTTCAACGTTGGTGGCTGCCAAGATGAGTGTGAAAGAATGAGCTCTGGCTAGTGAAATCCATGTCGCCAAGGCTACTCACTATTATTATTTTCAGTAGCTAAGGGGCACAGTTCTGTGGACCTGTAGTTGGCCTTGCCATTTCCCAAGCAGGTTTTTAAGTGTATCAAATAAAATTCAAGCCACAATGCTAAAGAGGTGATACAATGATACATACTTTCATACATCTGATGATGGCCACTGGTATAGATGTTTCTACATGGAACTAGACAAGCTGCTGGGTGGTCATTATGATTAAATGATAAACACAACTGGATCCCAAATGCTGAGGATAGAGAAGAGCTGTGGCACTTGGACCTGTGAATTTCCTGAGGGCTAGGCTCTTCAAATAGTAATTTGCAGAATGGCACAGAGTTTAGGGTTCCAAGACAAATACTGGCTTATCAATAAGGAAACATTAACTCCCATAGCTCATGTTTGGTGCATTTGAAAGGGCAAGGAAGTCTCACAATGACCCGTAATCTTTCCCAGTGTTGCGTGGGCTCAGCTGGACAGCCATGCTTGCCTCTTCAAACCTCCCAATGGTCTGCCATACACTGTTAAGGAATCTATGGCAGATACCATTTGGTCTCTGGAAAAAAAATGAAATATTTCAAGCATGGAACGAAATGTTCAAAGTTGATTTTGGCAGGAGAGATCCGTTCAAAGGGGGTGCACTAGTTCTCCATTTGACCCCGTTCTCATTTCCAGCTTGCCCACAACTGAGGCAGCCACAAAACTATTATTGGCCCTTGCATCCCCTTCAGGGGTGATATACTTAGCTGGTCCCCTGCCCCAGTTGTTGCAGCTGCAAGAGTCTTTGCGGTCTTCCTCTCGACTCGTGGCAGTGTTGGGCACGTGTCCTTGCGGTATAACGGCATCTCACCTCTCCGTTCCTCCACCTGAGCCCTGGCACGTGCAGTCTCCCTCTCCACTCCCCATCTCTTTGCAAAACAAATGTTTTCTAGAGGAAGCGGTTTCTGCGGGAAGAGCTTCAAAGGTGACCCAGAAATGCTTCAGCGCTTCTGACGTCATGGAAGCGAGAGGGTTGGCTTTGACCTGTGTAGGGCTGACACATTTTCCACTTCCTGCCTGGCGTATTTTTCTTCCTGCCCTACCTAGTGGGGTGGGGGGATGAGAAGATATTTTTGAAAATTAAATGTAAATACTTTCCCTGGTGGGGGGAAGAAAACACCTGTTTGAAGGAGGTTAAAAATACTCTCTCCATGTGTTGAGGTTCTGTGAGAAGGTAAATAAAGGCTTTGCCTTTGATCTGGAGTGGCTGTACTTCAAAGCTTCAAGTTACAATTGGCTTTGCAAAAATTACTCTCTTGTACCCCAATGCAAGCTATTGTTACTGCACTCTAAGACCTGCTTGGTTTGGAGAAGGCTAGTTTTCATGAAAGGTGGCTGTCCTATGCACCCTTCCATCCTACTGGAGACCATGGGGTTTACTTCTGTGTAGGCATACAAAAGCTTTGGGGACTGTGTGTCGTACTTCACAGAGAACAGTCCTCTATTTGCAGGGTTAGCAGGGGACAGTCCTCCGAGGGATGGGCCACTTGCAGCATCCCAGAAGGCTCAGAACCCCGATCAGCTCCAACCCTATACTCAACGGTGAGGGAACATGGGAATTGTAGGACAGAGATCTGAACTGCAACACGAAGTCTATTTCCGGAATATTTAAAGATGTCCTCCACTTGAAGGGCTGACCAGTCCAAATCCAGTTTAAAGATAACTTGGAGTTGTCTGTGCACAGTTAGCACCCAAGCCATGAAGCTATGCGGACCTCCTGGTTCCAGTCCTTCCCACTATGGTGAGATGTAGAAATCATGATCATATGAAGAGATATTCAGTACATCTGCATCTAGGCATATAAATCAATGAATGAATGATTATAAATTTATGTTCTCCTTTTGTGAACAAATGACCACCTGATGGGACCAAGCAGAAAGAACAACTGTGCCACCCTTTGGACCAGCCTTCTCCAACCTGGTGGCCCTCAGAGGCATTTGGAGCACAACTCCCAGAATTATTATTATTATTATTATTATTATTATTATTATTATTATTATTATTATAACATTTCTATGCCGCCCCTTGCCGAAACCTCGGGGCGGCTTACAACATGATAAAATACATTGAAATACAATAGTACATAATAAATTACCATTAAATATAACAATACAAAAAATACATTGATTTACAAATACAAAATTAAAATTATCAGTATAAAATAAAAATATAGGAGGAGAAAGAGAAGGAAGAAGAAGTTGCCCAGGCCAGATCATATGTTTTAACAATTGAAATGATGTTTAAATAAAAAGGTCTTTACCTGGCGCCGAAAAACCAGTAACGACGGTGCCAGGCGGACCTCTTTGGGGAGTGAATTCCATAGGTTGGGCGCCACCGCAGAGAAAGCCCTCCTCCGGGTACTTACTCTCCTAATTTCTTTCCTGGAGGGTTCCCGGAGAAGGGACTCTCCCGCAGATCTCAAAGGGCGGTCGGGCATATACGGACGTAAGCGCTCGTGCAGGTAGCCCGGACCCAAGCCGTTTAGGGCTTCGTAGGTCATAACCAACACCTTGAATTGGGCCCGGGCTTCAATGGGAAGCCAGTGAAGCTGACGGAGGACTGGAGTCATGTGAGCATAACGCCCCGTCCCCGTCAGCAGCCTGGCAGCTCTACTTTGCACCAATTCCCATCCAGCAGGGCCATTGACTGGGAATTCTGGGGGTCGCAGTCCAAACGTGTCTCGAAGGCACAGCGTTGGGGAAGGCTGCTTTAGGCAACCCATGCAATGAAGTGTGATTACAGCACCTTTAACAGCAAAGAAGAAGAGGATTTTTCCCGGTCCATCTCGCTTGCTTTCTTGAAATGCTGCCATGCCAAGCTGCCCCCAGCACAATTCCCTCCGTAAAAAGTTTTCCATCTGGTTCTTTCCAGGCATACAAGAGTGGTGAGAAGAGGAAAAGAGAAAAGTGGAAGTCCTACTTGCTTATAGATCAGCTGAGTTCTGAGCCAACGACCAAACAGGGCAGGGAAACTTATTTGATCAAAGAGGGCACTGAACCCCCAACACTGATCACTGCCAATGTTTAATAGGGACAATAGTTTCTTGCAGGAGGAGAAAGGTGTGGGATATAAATACGATAATAAATAATTAGCATCTGTAGTTTTGCTCCTCGGCCAGTCTCCATAGCAGAACTAGGCCAGTATATGATTGTACAGTTTTCCTAGGGGAAGCCCCTTTGTCCAACCCACTGCTCAACCAAGGGTGCCCAGAGGTGGACTATTCCCAAAAGCCTGTTCAAGTTCTGCATCATGTTCTCCAGCGAGAGAGAACCCATGGGTCACATTGCTAAACTCCTCTTCCCATTGAGAAGTTTCTCCTAATTGTTTAATGAAAGTCTACCTTTTTGTAGAGAAAAAGTACTTGTTCTCTTGGATGTAAACCCTTCAGGTGCTACCTTAGCCTTCTCTTCCACAGGTAAAACATATCCAGTTTCTATTTGTCAATATTCTTAAATTGTGATCAGAAGTAGGTGCAGTCCCCAGGTGAATTCCAATGAGTGCAGAATAAAATAGAACTCATACTTCCTGTGACTTGGAGAGTTTTGCTGGTCAATAAGATTAAAGATATGCAAAACTGCAATCATGGTTTCTTACTTCCAGTTGTATAGCAGGAACATGTTTCTATGTTCATCCCCTGTAAAATCCCAGACTGTATCTCTTGCCTTTGAGCAGATTTTTATTTAAACCATAGGATGTATAGTAATGCATCCTGGATATGGAGATCAATCCTTTATAAAATGGCCAAACCATTTATAAAACAGCAACCAAAGTGGACATAGCTGGGCAAAAGGAGTTACTTCCCTGAAGGCAACCAGTAAGACTAAAAGGAAAGCAGCTTGCCCAAGAGCTCACTTCCCTAAGATACAGTGCTGGCTACCATGTTGGATAAACTTTTAAAGGGCATTGGAAAAATCCATGGAGAAGACCACCATTGAAGGTACTAATCCTGATGTCTGTATGCTACCTCTGCTATTAGTGGCACTGTGTGTACCGGTTGCTGGGGAATTTGGGTAGGAGGTACTCCTGCATCCATCCTGCTGTGGGCTTCCTGTAAGCAGCTGGGTTGGCCACTGAGTGAGCCAAATGCTGGACTAGGTGGACTCTTGGTCTGATCCAGCACAGGCCGCCTTCTGTTAACCAGCATTCAAAAGAGAAACGGCTCCTGAGCTCCAAAACTCAAAGACACTCTTTGACCCCAAATATAGCTGGAGCTGGAGGCCAGCATTTTGGTCTGCTGCATTCCAGCCTTCCTGTGCAGAAAAATAATAACTTAGAAACATAGAAAACAGAGCGAGTCAGAAACGACCTCCCAGGCCATCTAGTCTGACCTCCGGCACCAGCCGGCTCCGCTCACGACATGCCCATCATGTGCACATCCAGCCTATCCTTGAACACCCGCACTGATGGGGCCTCAACAACCTCTCGTGGAAACTTAAAAGCCTTATGAAAAGAAATCCAGAAGGGAAGGGAGCCAAGGGAGGTGGCCACAGATATTTAGTTCCCATGGCCACCATGTTGGAGTTGCCAAGAAAAATTACCCTGGCTCCCCTCTCATCCCCCAAAGCCATCATTTTGCATCTGGCTCACTCACTCAGCCAGAATTCTGCATCTCGCTCCAGTGGATGGACTTTTTCTCAAATAAAATAGTTTCAGGCATACAGCTGACCACCTCTGTCCTCATTGAATGGTGGGTCTCTCTGCAGTGTAATAAGGAGGAACTGGGAGGAGGATGGCTTTGATCTGTCACCAAACATTATGCACACACACCATTTTTCAATGGCCTGAGGTGATTCATCACAGAATAATTCTTTGGTTCCAACTGTATCAACATTTACTTAAAACAGGAAGACAACAAAACATCACAAACTTGGAAGTTAGACCCATTGAACCTGGCAGGAACTTGGACGTCCGAGTGGATGTGGGTTTGATTTTCTCATTAGCTTGTTCACCCTTCCTGAGAAGGACACCTCACAGACTGAAGTTCTTAGTCATTTCACATTTTCCTCGGCTCAGTTTCATTAGCTAGTTTCTGGGAAGCGAAACCCTGAAGATTTTCTCATCCCTCACAAGTCTCTTGGACTGTTGAAGGAGGTGTGTGGGGGGTTGTATTTGACTCAGTAGTCTTTCTTGAACCCCTTTCGTCCCTTGTGCCTCCAGGTCTTAAGCTTGGGGACTGTGTGAAGTACAGTATACATTGCTGTTGTAGCAACTCTACCACTCACGCAACACTGCAAACTCTCAAAATGCAAAATTGCAACTTAGCTCCACTGTTGAGCAATTGCATTTGGTGATTCGTCACTCAGAAATTTGCTGCTAATCCTGAGCATTGGCTGCTAGAAATGATGTGCAGCTTTGTGGTATCCCTTTCTCCGTCCCCTCCTGCTGAAGTCCAATTAGAACGCACTGGGTGCTGATGGAACAAAATATCGGAAGTCAGCTTGGACTTCCTTTACCTCTGTTCCTTGCATTCCCACAGTCACTCATACACTTGCACAGTTGTGGTTGTATGTAAAGGGTGGTTTTCTTGTTCTACATGCATACCTGGGAGTAGATCCCACTGAACTCTGTTATGCTTGCTTCTGGATAGACGTGTAGGATTGTAAGGCAGATAATGCTGCATTGGATAGCTGCACCCAAGCAGATATTAATGGATTATCAGTCAGTACTCACTTGAGAATCTGGGGTGTTGATGAGCTCTTTGGCATCTGCTACTTAAAAACTGATTTAGTATGACAAATTTAATCTTCACACCATGTTAATGAAAACTAGCACTAGTCATATTTGGGGTCATATTTTACCCTAGATAAAAGTGTCCCAAGGAAAAAATGTTGAATATAAAAAGCTTTTGTTTTGGCTGAAATTTCCCCCAGGAGGTTCCAATATGTAAGGCTTTCAGCTGTCAACAAATACAGATAAGGCTTAATCCTTCCTGAGGCTATGCAAAGCAAGAAAATTTGCATTATGTGGCTTGGCCCACTGATCATTCCTCTGCATAACTATAGTTTGGCCTGATAATTTAAAAAATCCATAGTAAACCTTTCCTTCAATGGATTTTCATTCTTTTTGTTGAAGGTTTTAGCTAAGAATCTTAACTTAAAGAGGCCAAGATCTCCTTTATTGAACCTTCCTTATTGCCTTAAAAGGTGGGAGGCTGAAATTTGGGGACATTTTAGGCAAGTCTAGAAACTTTGACAATGTAGTAGGTGGGCAAGACTGTGAAGCTACTTATGTGTAAATTACAGCACAGAATGAGATCTCGGGGGATGCTAGTTACCCCACAATGCAGGATTGAGCGTATCAGTCATATATTGAGGTGTGTTTGTGTGTGTGTTGCTGGTTCATGTTTATACCTATTGGATGCTTTTCACTTCTACCTCATCACACCCTTTTTTAAACCCTCCCAGCCTTAAATTTTCAAGAGAAACCCACAGAATCATGCAGGGCTTTTCTTGCCACCTCCCAGAAGCAACAGCGAGGAGGAGACCAAACTGACTTTCTCCAGCGGAGGCCTTGCTTTGCCCCTCCCTGCTCAAAAGAAAATGGTAGCTAAGAACCAGTGGCTTGTTTTTTTCCTCCTCCATCCCAATCCCTTTTCCTTTTATGCCATACATTTTAGCTTGTAAGCCTCAGGAAGAGACTGACTATCTTGGTGCTGATTTTCATCAGCTACTTTGCATGCCTTGTTCAGCTGAAGAGCAGGGTTGATAATGTTGATAACACAGCAACTGATACACAAAGATTCAGATTCATATATCTTTAATATTCAGTACACAATACATTTTGGTAGATTATAGATTATTAGAAGGCAGCATAATATAATAAAACAATGCAGGAAACGGACTTGCCAGCTTCCCACACTCTCTGTGCAACAAAGCAGAAATTTAAAAGGTGAAGCTTTTCCTTGCCATTATATAAGCTGGCAACCATTGCTTAGAAAGAATACAGGGAAATTACAGGAAGGATCCTTTCCAGCCAAATGCAGGTGTCCTTCTCCAGGTTTGCTGTCAGGTAACGAGGAGGCAAGCCGGGTGTCTGTTTTGGGGTTTTCCTCCATGCCATCCCAGAGATGCACCTTTCATTTCTAAACGACAATAAGAATGAAAAGTCTTGGTTACGCACGTAGGAGAAACATGAGTCATTTGTACAAAAAAGTAGGAACAGCTGCAGAAAGTTAGTAGCATCCAGAGACATGATCAAAAGCAGTGCTTTTTTTGTCATAGAACGCACCGGAACAGAGTTCCGGCACCTTTTTTCAACAGATTTTCCAAGTTTTAAAAGTAACTTTTGAAAATTTGATGTTTGGTCTATGTGGATTTGAATTGCACTATCGAGCATAGCAGGTCGGCAGCAAAATCATTAAAGTGGTGCATGCGGGCTGCTTGTGGGTTGAATCTGATGCATGCACACTTCGTGCGCGCTGCTCGGCTTGTGGCACTGCTCAGCTTGTGATTGGTCGTGTGGTCGCGCGCTGAGTGCTTACTGCGGGCGGTGACCATTATGTTTCATTACACAACTGACATTTGTGGGTGTGTGTACAGTGATTGACTATGTGTGAAAGGAAAATAATTTCATGAGTTCCGGCACCTTTTTTCTTTCAAAAAAACCACTGATCAAAAGTAATGCCTTTTGGAACTGGTCTAAACAGCCTTTCAGAGATCTTTGATAGCTGGGATAGAGACTGCAGAATCACGGTTTGGATGTGTGTGAGTGATCCTTTTGAAGCCATATGCCACCCAAAGTGTGGCTTAAAGCAAAAATGGAAGAGGCCATCTCCTCTCTCTGTCTCTGCCACCCATTTTCCATCCTCCTTTCTCCTCACCCAATCTGCTGCTTCCAAGTGGGGGGACAGCTCACTTTTGCCAACCGTATACAGAGGGCTATTGAAATGAGGTGGAGGGATCACAGGTTGGCCATCTTCACAGTCTGTGCTGTAACAGTGGTTGTTCCACACAGGAGATATCACCATTTCCAAAACCCCTGGAAAGTATCACGTTGAGGGAAAGCTGTAGTGTTTGTGGAATTCCTCAAACTGGTAGAACATCTCATGGGGCCTGAAGGCATTTCGTTGTACAACGAGCTCTTGCACAAGATGAATCACCACTTCTGGGTGGAACGTCACATTAGTTCTGCTTAAAACTGACCCACTGAGGGGTTTACATTAAACCAATTTTGGAGCCAACTCCCTGAAAACTACCTTCAAAGAAGAAATATGCCTGTACATTGGAGGGACTCGCTGCTTCTGCAGTGCAGAGCGTTTAATAGTTCACTTCATTTGTTCTAAATTCCTTTGCGCCCCAATGGTAGGAAAGCAGTTCATGAACATTAAAAAATGCATAGGATCTTAGGCAATTTATAAATGGGACTTTTCACCAAAAGCTGAGCTCAGAGTGCTTCACAGAACAAAAGAAACACAATCCTGGTAACATTCAGTCTATTACCATTCATTCAAACCATACTGACAGTTCTGAATTAAGAGGCCAGCCCAGATCTTAACCTGTACGTAATGTACCTTTATTTTTAATTCAGTTTCTGCTAAGGTTTGTCAGCACAAACCTGCCCTCATTTCCAACTGTCTCGCAGGCACAAAATCCACGCTTACCTTATTTCATCCGCAGGCGGTAGGTCAGTAGCACGTTAAAGGCAACTGCCTTTAAGAAAATAATCCTCAGTCCCAACACGGTGATGGAGAGCGTATTCAGGGTTTCATCTGATTTAAAAGAGAGAGTGGGAAACATCGTAAGATAACTTGCAAGAGTTGTTTTTGCTTGCTTATGGATCTTGCAACAGCCTTGAGCTGCCACTGGTTTACTGCTGGTTACAAGGAGTGAGATCTGCGGAACAAGGGGAGGGCGAAATCCAATTGCCCCCCCCCAGAAGGTAGTGTTGGCTCCAGGGTTTTTTTTGGGGGGGGGGTTAAGGAAGACTCCCTCAACGACCCCCTCCTTCTGTGAGTCCACCTTCTTGGCGCCACCGTCGCAGCCTGCCTTTGCTCCTTCTCCTTCTGCGATTTGCTCCTCTGTTGTCTGGAATGGAGCAAGCGAGAAGCAGGGGGGCAGGCAGGTTGCCACGGTGAGGAAGAGGGGCAGAAGCAAGGGGTCCTGTTGTGCCCGCACTGATGACCTTGCAGGAGCCCGGCCGTGCTTCCCCTCGATGCCAGCCCTGCTTGAAGGCATGGGAGCGCCTACGGCGTTCCAGTCAGGCTTCTGCCAGTTGGCCAAGCGCTTTTGCTGAGCAGCATTGGGGCAGGCCCCCGAGATCTGCCGGGCTGGCTGGAGAGGCTGCCGGCGTCCCCATGAGGAGTGGAGCCCCACAGGAGCAGGCGCCTCTGCAGCACGGAGCTGCCCGCCTTACCCTGGTGCACACGGGCCTCGCTGCCTGCATTTGGCCTTCTGACTCCTGATCTCCAAAAAGCTTTGGAAGTTGGGAAGGGGCAGAGGGTGAGTAAGACGGTGCCTGCAAAAAGGCCACTTTTAGAAGACCGACGACCCTTACTTCAGTACTGTGCACAGGGCAGGATCCTGCACTAGACCTGAAGGCAGCGGGGGGGGGGGGGCACAGGGTTGGTCAGATGGCCCCTGGCTCCCTTCTCTATCGCCCTGCTGCTGCCACCTCCCAGCTTCTGCTGCCCGAGGCAACGGCCACGCTCGGCCTTATGGTAGGACCGGCCCCGGTGGAGAAGTCAGGAAGAGGCCCGGATAAGAGTGTCAGCCTGTTGCTCGACCACCCATCACCTCCGCCTCCTTTCGGTCTTTCCCTGCCCTCCTCCTCTCAGCACACCAGAGCCTGTACGGCTGGCAAGTGAGGAAGGATGTGTCCACACTTTCATCTGCGTGGAACAGTAGAGGAGGCGCACATTTGATCAGGAAAGACCACTGGCTTGTTGGGTCTCTCTAATTCTTGCAGGTTGCCCCACTTTTCTTCTTTTTTCACTTGAGCCCTGAGAGCCACTGCCCAGCACCCAGTGCCCTTTGCTTTTATTTTTTTTTAATGCAAAACTTAGAGTTCAACACTGGTTTTGAATATCGGAACTGAACCAAACTCATAGTCCTTCTGGACAAAATTCCTGATTATTTGCTTCCCCTCCAAGCCTTCTTCATTTCGAGGAAATAATTGGCAGCTCAGGAGGTGGAGTTCGCTGCGAGTTACACACAGGAGTGCGAAAGCTGTGGCAACTTAGTGTAACTCAGCCAAAGATCCATCAGTAAATCCAGGTTTACCTTCCGTTCACACAGCTAATACATAGCCTTAGTATGGAAACCTGGCCTACAAGTCCAAGCAGGCTCCCTTAGCCCTGGTCTGCACGTCACAACAACCCATCTCTTGTTAAACGATGGCTTGCTCCGAATGATGCAGGGGTGAGCAAGCATGTGGGCTCCTGTGGACCAAACGATCCCTTGGATTCTTGTCTGAGATTTCTGAACCCAGAATCGTAGGTTGCAGCAGGAAGAACAACCAAGAAGGGTTGCAGGCTGAGTTGTGTGCATCCCCGGGTTGTTTAGCACAGTTTCAGTGGTCAGAAGCCCCCACGGTTCCTCACTCCTGTCCATTCATGGGTATCCAGGATTATCTTTTTATTCAGGTAGCTGTGATGTGCAAACCAGGTTTAAATTAACCTTCTGCTGCTGGCTTTGACGCTTAGGAGTCCAGCTTTAGTCAAAGTCTGTCAACAAAACCAACATCTTTTATTGAAAGAAAACAAACAACTCAGACTGGAACCTACTTGCGGAAGTGATGGTGTTTAAAGCAATATTATGATTTCCCCCCTTAGACATGTTGCTTTATCCCTTTTGAACATACCTGTCTCAAAAGTCTGAACTGTTGTTGCTGGAGCAGATGTGGCAGCTGTTGTACCCAATTTGTCTGCTTTTTTCATGCAGTTGTCTGGATTTGTAAGAAGAAATTGTTATGCCACAGAAATTCTTTCATTTTCTATAGTGCTTGCTTCCTTCCCCTCTCCCTTTCCCATTACACTTCCCATTACAACTTTTATGTTAATTCCAGGACTCTGCACACAGAGGAGAAATCAACGGTCAACTCAGTGCATAATCTACTTTATCCTTTTACAGCAAAATCTAACCTTGAGTAAATGGATTGTGTTGATTTTCACATACACATAAAAATCCTGAGCATGTTCCAATCCGAGCATTCAAGTTTCTGGCCCTCCAAAACTTTGCAGATTACTGCATTAGCTTTTAAATGGCAATTGTAAACTGCTCTGGGGAAAATGTCAGCGGAAGGACAATATCGAAATAAGTTTAATCAAAACAATAACAACCACTGACTAATGTAATGATGCAAGTTAAGAGCTTGCATCTGGACTCCACTTGATCTAGAAAATGCCTGATTTTGTGCCTAAGAAATTTCAGTACTCTACGTGCCTTCGGCGCTTGGAATATTTAGTGTCCCTCGGACCCAGACAGACTGGAGCGCTGCTCCTGTTTTAATTCAGGAAAGAACCCTTTCAACATTGGGGCTGATGGTCTACAGGATTTTCCAGATGGCCACATCCTTTCCTGGCCCCATGACCTTTGTCCCAACAGCTGATCATTTTGTGGCTTCCAAAATTTTGCCCAATCTCTCTCCTCCATTCTGAAATGTTGAAATAGTTTAGCCCGTTCCCCTTTTGCCTTTGGCCTACCAACAGATGCCTCTTAGGTCAAAAGAGATTTGATATGCTGTAGGGCATTTTTTTGGTGACAGATTTTATTTTCTTGGGCTCCAAGATCACCGCAGACGGTGATTGCAGTCAAGAAATTAAAAGATGCTTGCTCCTAGGGAGGAAAGCTATGGCAAATCTAGACAGCGTACTAAAAAGCAGAGACATCACCCTGCCGACAAAACTGTGTGTAGTCAAGGCTATGGTTTTCCCAGTTGCAATGTATGGCTGTGAAAGCTGGACCATAAGGAAGGCTGAGCGCAAAAAGATTGAGGCCTTTGAATTGTGGTGCTGGAGGAGACTCCTGTGAGACCCTTGGACTGCAAGGCGATCAAACCGGTCAGTCCTAGAGGAGATCAACCCTGACTGCTCTTTGGAAGGCCAGATTCTGAAGATGAAACTCAAATACTTTGGCCACCTAATGAGAAGGAAGGACTCCTTGGAGAAGAGCCTGATGCTGGGAACAATTGAGGGCAAAAGAAGAAGGGGACGGCAGAGGATGAGGTGGCTGGATGGAGTCACTGGGGGGGTGGGGGTGGGCTTGGGTGGACTCCGAGGGATGGTGGAGGACAGGAGGGCCTGGAGGAATGTTCTCCATGGGGTCACAGTGGGTCGGGCACGACTTTGCGACTAAACAAAACAAAAAAAGGCCATTTTTGCATCCTCTGCTCAGGGCAGACACTTCTTCGTGAGCCTTTGACTTCCATGCATGGTTCTAGAACATGTTCCAGGATGCACACTGCTCTGGCCAAAACTGTTGAGCTGAGCCACTGACCTGGAGATACTCCTGCCCATTCCTGTGTTTACATAGTGCTGGGGACAATTTGCCACCTGACTGTGCTTGACACCCCATCAGCTAGACAACATTACACCATCAGGTAGACAACACTCCCTGCAGTTTCTAAGCTTCTCACTGAGGAATGCTCTGCTAAGCGTCTGTTGATTTCCCCCAGAAGTCACGTTTTGAAAACAGCTGGTTTCTCCCAACATTCTATCATTAAAAGGGAAATGTGAAGGCTAGTCAGGTGTCCAATTTCCCAGTGGGTGATCCTTCATCTAGAAAAGTCCTCTACCGGATGGGCAGTTGAGACCAGGTCTGGTTTAAAATGTAAGAAGCATGGGATGGGGGACTGGGGACTTTGAGTATGCCCATGAAAAGGTAGCAGCTAGACTGTGGGAAGAACACAGTTCAAATGTGAGATATACCATATTATCTCTAAATTTGCATGTATACATATCCATTAGCATTTGCAAATAAAATGCATATTGGGGTTCTGTTTTGCCTTCTGTTTTGCAGATGCTGTTTAAGGGGCCTGTCTAGAATCATGGTCTTCAATATAGGCTTCGGCAAGGGGCGGCATAGAAATGTTCTAATAATAATAATATTTGGAGTGGGGGGTGTTAATGTATCCAGGGGGAAGGATGGAGCTTGGTTGTATCTAGTGTGCAGAAATGATCCCCATCTGCTCACCTTGTCTTTCATAGTTATAGACTCGACCAGCAGCCCTAGCAGAACAGGTGAAGTCTTTATCCTTGCTGTCCCACAGGACTGTCCCATAGCTGGGTATATCTTTTCCATTTTCTTTCACAATAACAAGGGAGCTGTTGACAGCTTTCCAGTTTTCTCCCCTGGTTTTCACTTCGATACCACCAGGAAAATGGTCAGTGAAGAGGCAAGCAGTTAAGTTTTTCATGAGTTTGTCCTTATCTTCTTTGACGGGCTTTAGTTCGTAGATGGAAGGTGCAGCTTCTGGAAGATCTACAATAGGAAGGAAAAAGTCAGCTGTGACTTGTGCCCAACATTTACAGTCTCAACCAACATTACAGAATACCTGAAGGGTCACCTCCTGCCCTTTATGCCCCCATGCCCCTTAAGATCGGCAGGGAAGGCCTTGATGCAGGAACCCTCTTTCCAGGAAGTACAGAGGGGTCTACCCAGAGGAGGGTCTTCTCCGTAGTGGCACCCAGACTATGAAACTCGCTCCCCAGAGAGGTCTGCCTGGCGCCAACGTTATACTCCTTCCAGCGCCAGGTAAAGACCTTTCTATTTAATAATCTATTCTATTTTAGAATAGATTTTAATCTATTTAATAATCTATTCTATTTTAATAATCATGGATTTTAGATGTTTTAAGATGTTTTCTTTTTTTTTCCTTCCCCACAGTCACCTTTTCTATTCTTTTCCCCCCTTTTCATTTCTCTTAGTTTATGACATCCTGTTTTATATTGTTTCAATAACTGTGGTTTTATTATTGTGTTATTGTAATTTTACATTATGTAAGCCGTCCTGAGCACTTGTCAGAAGGACGGGATATAAATGATTGTAAAAAATAAATAAAAATATAACCATAATAGGCATGTAAAATACGATAAATAAGTGGGTTTTGGGTTGCAGTTTGGGCACTCGGTCTCTAAAAGGTCCGCCATCACTGGCCTAGATGCTTTGGCTTACAGCTCCCCTCAGCCCTAGCTACTGTAGCCAATGGTGAGGAATAATGGGAGCAGTAGGTCAAAGCACCTGAAAGGCATTCCTTGCCTTCCCCTGGTTTGTTTATTTCTTTATTATTTCTTTAAGGTTTTTGTATGCCACCCTATTACTAAAAAATGGGGTGGCTTACAAAGAGCAAACCAGAAAAAACCAGAACAACAATAGCACACCCGGTTTTAAGAAAACACACAGCATCTAAAATAGTAATAAAAAACAAGAAGAAAAGCAGTTAATTATTAAAATACTGGGTTGTTTTGCAGTCCACATCCGGAGATGCTTTTGCAACTACTCTGAGTCATGCTCAGTGCAACCAGTAGTTTCGTTCCAGCTCCAAAAAAAGATAATTTCTCAGAAGTGCCTGCAAAATTCACACCACGCTGCAGGCTGTTCTGCGCCACTGCTTCACTGTGATTAAAAAACTGACTATGGGAGAAGTAGGGTTTCTACCCACATTTCCTGCTCTTTGACCTGGCTTGGCGGGAAGGCAAAGGGCTGTCAAAAGCACATTCATGGAGAAAACGGCAACGATTTCAGTCCCATCAAGACTTCAACACAAGGCTCCATGTGCCATGCAGGGAAAGAGTCATCGTTTGGAAAGCTATCCAAACTGCCACGGGTTGCTGAATTTGTGTCTATCGTGCCGCTTGTCCTCATTCCATGCCACTTGAGGTAACATTTCTCACATGGTGGCTTGGATCTACATCCCTGATTAACATGGTCCGATTGACTTGAATGGGGCTGGTTTAAATGTGGTGAAGTCTGGATCTAGCCTGTTAGCCCCGTTTGTCCGGGACTGTATGGGAGGCAGAGAAAACATGGGCTTGCAAAGCTGTACCTAATTCATGGCAGAAGCGAGATCTGAACTTAAGGCCGCTATTTTGTTCTCTGCACACTGGAAATGTGTAAATAAAATTCCAGTCCTGGACAGACCATGCACACACAGAGAAAAATCCACATATCGCCAAATATGCACAGCACGGTATATAGGTAACTCTGAGAGTATATTCTGCGTGCAATGCAGCGGCCTCCTTGAGACATCCCTAACAAAATATACTCTGGGGCTAAACACTGAGCATTATAAAGGAGACGCCATTTCTTTTCCTGGACACATCTGAAGAACACCATGGGGGGTTTAATCAACAATTCAGGTTGCCTAAACGCAAAGGGTCCATCCAGTCTGATTCACACTTCAAACAGATCCTTCCAAATCAATGGGTCTTACAACAATCAAGACTCATTTAAGCACCATTAATTTAAATGGTTCTACTCTAAGCATGAGGAAATCTGTATCCAATGCTATTGTGCAGTGAATTTGTCCTTATCCTGAAAGCTGTTCTAATGTTTAACCATTTTAACAACAGTTAATGAACTATCCCAACCTCCAAACGATTTACCTAGCAGCAAGATTATTTTCTGCTTGGTTTATTAATAAATAAATAATATTTATTTGCCTTACTTGGTTTAATGCTCAGTTGTGTTCCACCTCCAAACAGGAATTTGTTAGCAATTTCCCCACACAGTGACTTAGACTATGACATAATCCCCAGTTTCATCCACTCCCTTGCAAGATGGAAGCCATCCCATTGATCAATACAAATGCAGATCCTCAGATCAAATCATTGTGACAATTTGTATTTTCTCGTACATCGTCATGATGTTGATTTTATGGGCCTTCTTGGCTGAAGCCATCTAAAGACAAGACCAAATGGGACCCAGGATCCAAACAGCAAGGTGAAATTGGGCCTAAGATTCACAAACTCAATTCCCCAAGATTGGCAAAGAGCAGCATTTTGGATTGTAGATATCAGGTCAGGGCCATATTTCATCCTACTTAGAGTTGATCTGTTGAGATCAGTGTGATGGAAGCTACTCATGACTAACTTGTATTCAATGGCCCTCCAGCTTGCTGTTGTTCTGCAGCTTAGTCATACTTCAAGAAGACCTTCAGTAATCAATGGCACTTCAGTGAGGCATGATTCGTCTCACTTGAAGCATGACTAAATAATCCTAGATCAGATCCAACTGGAACTGTGAGCAAAAAGGATAAAACTGAAGCTGTTACACTTCAGGCACATGACAAGAAGGCAAGACTCCCTGGAGAAGATGGCGGTGATGGAGAAAGTCCAAGGTGGAAGAAGGGGAAGGCCAACTAGGAGATGGATCAAGAGTTGGAAGAGGAGGACCGATGGGCCAACCACAGGGGAAGAACGCATTTCTTAGTCTATACGACATGGCAGGCCCAAGAGCGAGCGGCCTTGTGGAACAAATGTCAAAAAATCACAAAGGTACAATGGGGTAGATCCAGATTTTGCCCTACTAAGAGGAGACCCATTGAAATAAAGGGACTTGAGTTAATCATGAGTCCCCAAGTTCCTTAAACAACAACATGAGCAGAAATACTAACTTACCAGGGGTAACCACAAGTTGAGTCCCACCTCCAAATACAGATTTAACCCCATCAGTAACCCCACTGTGGAACGTGGCTCTACAAAATGGTGGTTCTGTGGGAATCTGCTTCTTTGCTGTGTCTTTAGGGGAGCAATCCAATGCACATTTGGACAGAAAAAGTCCTACAATACCCAGCATCCCCCAGCCAGGCACATTGGCTGGGGAATTCTGGGAATGGTAGGACTTCTTTATGTCTAAAATGCTTAGAATGTTGCTCTTAAACTATAAATCTGACGATAGCGATGATCTTGACTTTTGTAAGCCAGGCAAAGATTCTTTTTGCTGAAGACTGTGGTAAAAATACTTCAGTGAATCATAAACTGAAACTAGAAATTCCCACCTGTCTACCATCTTCACACACAAAGCTAAACCAGTAAGTTCTGGGATGAATCAAAACAAAATTCCCATAAAGGTGAAGACACTTCTATTGAGTGTAGTTTAAACATGGACCTCAAGTAAATGGATGTTAACCTACCAGGGAAAACCACAAGTTTAGTCCCACTTCCAAATACGGGTTTAGTCCATCCACCACCAGTTAACACTGTGAGATGCAGCTTTACAAATGATGGTCTTTGGGGATTTCCAATGCTTAACACTGCTAGGTCTAATAGACTTGTGTGACAATTACATTCAACACAGCCTGTATTTTAACAACAGCATTGTAAGGTAGGCCTGTAATTTTATCCTCAAAGGCCAGTAGAAGGAAGCCCCATGTTGAAAAACTCGTCACCCTAGATCACCCTAAGGTGACTTAGGTTACAATACGATCCATGTTTAGAAAGTTCCCAGCATGTCCCAGCCAGCCATGAATGCTGGGAATCCTAGTTTTGTTTTTTTCTGTTTCTCTGTCTAAACATGCAAAGGTTTACACCTCAATTTATTCCTTCTAAGATTGTGTGCAAATCAGTAGATATTTTCTTATGCCACCAGCTATTGGCATTTTTCTGATGACTCTTTTTTTGATTGTGTCATACTGAGTGCAGATAACATGATAGCCCAGACTCAAGGACTAGGTGCTGGTTGTTGCTGAAAAATGGATCATCGCATTGTCTGAACCCAGGTGAGATAGCAAACCATGGTGAATAAACCACAGTTCATAACCCAAGAACAAACCATGAACTCCTTGATGGTTCATGGTTAAAGTATACCTTGTAAATGCATCTTACCGTAAGTCTTAAAGAATATGCTCAGAGATTTGTCTGGAAGCAAATATGACCCTAAACTGTGGGTTCGAGCAGTGGACTGGCCAGCAGTGTAATGCTCTGAGAACATTTAACAATCAGAGGTAGACATGTATATATACATCGGACTGTCCATTCCAAAACATAGCTCTCTCGAGGCTTAGAAAAAGATAGTGGATGGATATAAATGGAATCTACCACTGGTTAAGAATGCTTTTGACAGTATTCTGGATCAATCGGCACTTAAGTCATGCTTAAGTTGTGGGTCATTGATTTCAATAGCTGTCCTCTAAGACTGACTCAGTCTGGAGCTAACCCTATCTTACAGACTGCATGATCTCCCACGATCATCATCAGCCACAGTTGTTTTAAATATGAGATCATGTACTTTGAGATCCACTTACCACGGAGAACCACCAATTTGGTTCTACTTCCAAAAAGGACTTTAATCCACGCCTTGTCAATATTGCACTGTAAGAAATGTCTTTGCAAAATAATTGACTTCTGAAGTTTCCAATGTATGATCATTTCTAGTTCATTGATCTACTATGGAAAATAGGATTGGACCAACTTCTATTTAAGGATAGGAGAACCATCATGACTCCAAATCCACTTCATTCCCATTCCTAAATGTGAGGAAAG